GGGGGGTCGTCGTTGAAAATGCTCGAAGGGGTAACCCTAAGCGTTCAAGGGGCCCTCAGCCCAGCACGGAGGCTCGTTTGAAAAAATAAAATAGAAATAAATCCCCGAAAATTCCAGCAGCAGCCCAAGATGGTGGCCAACGAGTCTGTTATCGTTTTGCCGGCCTGGCGGGGGTGGGGAGTGGGGGGTGGCAGCGCCCGCGGGCTGCCCTACGACCTTGACAACTCCAACCTTGCGGGGGTCCCCAAGTGCCCCTCTCCCCCCAGCCCCCACTCTCACCCCGGCCCGGGCCGTTTCCACAGCGGCAAAAGCCCCTGGACACGAGGTGCGAACCGAGGCGTCCTCAGCCTGCCTTACTTTGAAATTAAAGCAGAAATGGAAACGTGGGTCGATTTCTGGAGTGCACGACCACAAATTGATTTCGCTCAGAGTTTGAAAGTCCCTTCGTCTTCCGAATTTACCCTGGGGCTGGCAATGCGAGTGCCAGGGACTGGCAGAAGTGCCAACTCGTGCACACGTAGGAGAAACGGGCGTCTTGAACGCACGACTTTGGACAAAATCCCTCGTGGGCCGAGGATCGGGTCCCCAATAGTCATTCCAACTTTTAAGGGGCACAAGATACCTATGTACATAATGTTGGTGGGCGTGTGTGTATTTATCGTGCTTTTTCTAAATGGAGATGGTCATTGACATTTTAAAAGAAGTTGGATACGACCTGTCCCAAATCTAGAAAATTAGTCACTTAGGTTCCGAGTATAGCTCAGCCCCCTCAAATGTGTCATCGAATCCCCTAAAGGAGAAGGCGCAGAGGAAGCGGACTTTTGGAAGAACCCCAGTGTTGGCACGGACGCCTGCGGTGTGAAAACGCCCCCTCCCCTGGCAGGGGGGGTGTTCCTCCCATAGCCCATCCCCCCTCCAGAATGAGGGTGGCTGATATCCCGGGTCTGGAAGGGTCAATGGCCCCGCGGCGTGGGTGAACAGGTAGCATGTGCCCACCGCACTGCCCCCTCCCCGGGCACCCAGGTCCCCGCCGGTCGTGGGCACGGCGCAGTCTCTGCAGCGTCAGCCAGCGCACGAGGGCGGCCGGGCGGCTTTTCATTCATAAAATCCTGACCGGGCAGCCGCCGAGGTTCGCCCGCACCGGCGGCTCAGTCTCCAAGGTCCAGGGGCTCGGGTCCCCGCGTGCGCCAGGCCTGGGCCAAGGCGGGAGCCACCGGCGTCAGCTAGGGGCAGCGGGGTATAAAAAAAGATCGCCCACTCTGGTCATTTGGGCTCCGGGGCCGGGAGGGAGCTGCCCCCCCACCGCGGGAAAGAGAGGAAACTGGAATTAGCATGAACCAATAGAGGCGCGGCGCTGTTACTAGGCGGGCCAGGCAGATCTCGACTAGGAACTTCGTTGATTTCTCCGCTCAGGGACGGGCGCAAAAGTGCAAGCCCGGCCGGCGGGCGTGCAGAGCCGTCCAGGAACCAGTGGGGGAGGCGCAGGAATTTGGGGCCCCACAGGGAGCGCCTGCAGCCCAGCCCCCACCGGAGAGCCCAGCCAGGCGGCCCCAAATCCCAGGGAGAACCCACGACCCCGTGCCCTTAAGGGAGATCGCTGCAAGCACAGCAGGAAGCGTGTTTTGGTTTTGATTTTTTTTTTTTTAATTGCAATTTTTTCAGAACTTTTCTGTTGTTGGTTTCACTTGGCACGGTCTTTGTCAAACCCAGCGCGCCGCAGACGCTGCGGGCTCCGAGCTCATTGCAAGAGCTTGCGCTCGCCGGTTTCGTGGGGGCCCTTCGGAGACAAAGGGCCAGCGGCCCAAACCGGAGGAAACCCACGTTGGTTTGAAAGAAGCCGACGTTGCTGAAGCCCCCTCCCCGCCTCCCGCCCGCCCCCCTCCCCCGGGCGGGGTGGCCGCGGCCCGGTCGAGGGCAGGCCAGAGAGGGCGCATTCCGCGGCGGCTCGCGTTTGCCCCACCGTCCCTGCCTGTGGGAACCTTCATTGAGCGGGGGAAGGGAGCGCGTTCATTCAGGAACCGGCGCGCCGCGGGGCCGACCCGGGGCGCACGGCGGCTGCGCGCTGCTTGCGCCCGAGGCCTCTCCAGAGAGGGTTGCGGACCTGGGGGCCACCTTCCGCGGGCGTTGCCTTCCGGAACCCGCCTGCCCTGTGTCCTCCCCACGGGAGAACGGCGGGCCAGCGCACCCAAGTGGGGGTCACCTGCAGCCGCATACCTGGCGGCGACTTGAAAGGACTTGGCTTGGCCTCCGCCGAGATTTCTATTGTTAAGCTCTTAAAGCGCACTGGAAAGCGCTTCCGAAGGCGGGCCACGGAGTTCGGGGGGCGGTTCCCCTGCTCCCTCGCAGCTCGCTTTGGGGGCACGCATGGTGGTCCACGTGCTTGGTGGCTCCGCGACACCGACTCCCGGTACCCCGCAGCAGAAGGCCTGCGCACCTAGGGTAGCCACATCCTGCAGCCCGCTCCCGCGAGCAGTTAATTTCAGCTACTGGCTTGCTCCCCCGCCCGCACCCCAGGAATAAAACTGTGGGCGCAGTGGGCACAGAGGTTTCAAAGCAAACCCCAACAAGTATTGGGACAAGCTCCAATGCTTTCATTTTCTAGCTCCTCGCCCCTCAAACCGAATCACGGGGCTCCCCGAGCAAAGTGAACCCCTAAATTCACTAGGCAGGCCGGTTCAGGTTTTCGGGGGGGGAGTGGGCACCAAAGTGGAACTCCTCGCCTCCCCCCACCCCCAAGGGAAAGACCTCGGACGCCACGGTTTCGGCGTCCCACTCGAGGCCTGAACGTGGACCCCCGCCCGGCCGGGGGCGCGCGGAGCCGCTAGCAGACTCGCGGGCCTTGGACCCTGCGGCGGTGGCTTTCCAAGCGACGGGTCCACTCGCAGACCGTGGTCAGTGCCCACGCGTCGCAGCCCTAGTAGGGCAGGCTGTGTCCTCCCCCGCCCTGGGGCCTGCCACCTGCCCTCCCTCGCCCTCTCTGGAGGTTGGTCTGCGGAGAGGGCCCCGCGTGCTGTCTCTTCTTGGCTTCCTCCTGCGGATTCGGCCCGAAAGTGGGGCGGGGGCGGCTTCTTGAGATTCTTGAAGTCTTGGAGGAGGGGGAAAGGGATGCGAGTGGGGGAGGGAATGCAAACCTAACGCCCCGCACTCCTTCTTTGGGCGACCCCTCGAGCCTGCTAGGGGGCTGCAGGCCGAACCTGGGCCCGCGGCGGGACTTGGGCAGGCAGGGCCCCCAGGGGCTACTGGACCGTGCCCTGGCCCCCAAATCCGCGGGGTTTCGCTTACGTTGGGGGCGGGAGGTCTGGGCCAGGCTTGGCAAGGGGACGGGGTGGGGGTGGGTGCACTCTGACCCGGACCGGGGCTCAGATCTGTGCGGGGACACGCAGCGCATTCCGCGGATTCCCGCCGGGCCCCTGGGCCACGGCCACGTGGTTGCCCTGCGCACCGTGTTTACCGTAAGGCTCGGAGAAGGAGCGCACTAGTGACTTCAGGGTGCACGCGGACCTCCCAGGGTGAGAAATTCGGCGGACCTGCCCACCTTTCAGCCCACAGGGGCCACTTTTCCAGGTAATAAGGAGAGTCCCACTGCGGGCGTAATAATCGATCTGTAAAGGCGCGGGTGGGGTGGGGAACCTTCCGGCCCAACGGGTGACTGCCCCAGGAGCAGCAGTGGTTTCAAACTGCAGACCTTGGACCGCTGCATGAAACACGTCGCCGCCCAAACTGGACGGTGACACTTTCATGCACGGCATGATTAGACCTGGAATGTACGAGATGCTTAGCAAATGGGAAGAAGTCCATAAAACAGGTAAATTATGCTTTGTTTTCTAAGTCCTGAAAAGTCAAGTCAAGATCATAAAAAATGAATCCTTCCCTGCCTGCACCTCTGCTCCCACAAATCCTAATTCTGGCCCCCTCCCTTCTGCAGGTTCAGGGGTGAGTTGTGACACCCTCCCTCCCCCAGTTTGAAGGATCCTAAGGATCCTGGGGCCTCTCTCTCCTCTGTCCACTACCCCCAGTGGCCAAAGGCCTCTCCCAGCAATCACACAGAGGCCGAGGGGAAGGAGAGCCTAGGGGCTGTTGGGCCTTGAACCCCGCAGATTCATCCCCCTGCGCCTCAAAGGGCACAGGACCGGGGTTGGAACTCACAAAGGACTTCGCTGTGGAAGACGGCAGAAAAGATGTGGCCGGTCAGCCCCTGGAAGATGACAGCCAAGGAGACCTGATGGGGCCTCTCTACTCTATCAGGAAGGGTCCAGCCACTGTCCTGGGTGGGGGGTGGGGGACAGCCAGGGCACAGTGGTAGAATCCTTATCTTCCATGCGAGAGACCTGGGTTCAGTTCCCCACCAGCGCCGCTCCTGCGCAGCTCACAAGCGTCCACCGTCACGTTGCTATGCCTGCTACATGGATTTCGGCAGGACTTCCAGAAGCAGGCAGGTGATGTGGAAGAAAGTCCTGCCAAACACCAGCCTCATGAAAACACTCTGGGTCACAGCGATCTGACTGCCCAGGGGGTCTCAGCGACAGAGCAAGATGGCAGCTTCTTTTTTTAAGCGTTAGACGCAGCTTTAACTACACAGGTTAATACATTCAAATGTTAGCAGCTACTGTACGAGGCAAGTCTATTGTTATCAATACTTTATAGCTGAGAAACTTCTCCAGAAAAGGTGTGCCCTAGCCTGGGGAATTGGGTGGGTGGGTGGGGGAAGGGCGCTGCTGGAACTGGGCCTGGACTGCTGACTTCACCCCCCAGCACCCTATGCACTGACTCTGCCCCCTCCCATTTGGCCTCTCGCCACTTCCCTCAACTTGTTTTAAGACTTTCATTTATTTGTTTTTCACAATTATCCCCCTCTTTTTTTTTTCTTTCAAAAATCATTTTACTGGGGGCTCTTATCACAATCCGTACATCCATCCATTCTGTCAAGCACATTGGTACATTTGTCGCCAGCATCATTTCTTTTTCTACTTCAGCCCTTGGTATCAGCTCCTCATTGCCACCCCCCACTCTCCCTCCCTTATGAACCCTTGATCATTTATAAATTATTATTTTTTCATGTCTCACACTAACTGATGTCTCCCTTCACCCATTTTTTCCGCTGCCCGTTCCCTTGGGGGGGGTGTTATATGTAGATCATTGTGATTGGTTCCCCTTTTCTCCCCCCACCTTCCCCCCTACCCTCCTGGTATAGCTACTCTCATTATTGGGCCTGAGGGGTTATCTGTTTTGGATTCCCTGCGTTGTGAGCTCTTATCTGCACCAGTGTACATGCTTTGGTCTAGCCAGATTCTGAAGGTAGAATTAGGTTTGTGATGGTGGGTG